TCTCGGCTTCGATGCACTGCGGCGTAAGATTTTAGCCCAGTGCCAGTCGCGCTGCTACGAACGCACGTTGCCCGCACGTTTGTATCATCCAGTGCGGGGTTGACATTCGATCGGCGTGCGGCGGCCCGATCCCGAAGCCGCGTTGTTTCCCGTGCACATCGTCGGTGCTTTCGGTGCCAGCGAGCCTGCTGCTATTACAACGGGTTGTGGTGAAAGCGAGTGCGCCCTCCGTGTGCCACGGGCTCTGGCCCGCGTCTTTGCTGCCTCGGGACACGATGCTGGGCGGTCGATCGCCGCAATGCTGCCAAGCCACGCACTACTAAACTGTCCAGCCACCGCGTGCTGTTGCTATATAGTGTGCGCCCTTTCACGCCCTGCGTCAGTGGACTTCGGCCGCTGCTCCCGAGCCTGTCGCCGTAGCCGCCGTGCGCTCTCGCCATGAAGAAGCTGGTCAAGGCTCCTTCCTCGCGGTCCCTGCCCCGTGCGGACGGCATCTTCTCGAAAATGCGCCGTCTGCGAAGCCACACTCTTCCCTCGCGGCTCACCCAAGTGGCAACGGCCAAGCGGGTTGCCATTGCGGTGAGCAAAATAGCCGTTAATCGCTCGACGCACGCTGTCGCTACGGCGCGCTCGGAGTGAAGCCCCGCTTTGTTGACGGATGATGTGTGTTTACGTTGCGCGCCCCAGCGAGCCCGCTGATCCGTGCGACTGCGTCTCATTTGGTGCGCTTCTCTTCCGCTTGATTTGGCCGCGGCTGTCAACGGCCGGTGTAGTAGTGCAGTACGTCTCTGAAAGGATGCGGGGCTTCGCCTGTTTTCCTTGCGAGTGACGTCGGCGCACGACTGCGTTTTTGTGAGCGACAGTTGCTGTTTTCTGAAGAGCTTCTTTAAATTGTCGAGGTTGCTCTAACAGCTACCCCCACTTGCGACTGTGTTTCATGGCACAGTCCGAGCGTACTTACTTTCTGATGCAATGTGCGACGCGCCTGGCGTGCTGCAGCTAAACAGACACTTATATGGATCGGTGTTTCGTAGACGAAAATTTCTGCTTCCCTGTTCGCGATGGCTGGTGATTTTCATAGCACATGTTATGCATTGCTGATTCTCACGCTTTATTTTGAGCGCACTGCGAAGTGTTTTCTTTTTTTTTTTTAATAAGAAACATGTATAACACTGGTAACGGCTGTTCGCTTCTGTGTAATATCGATCCAGCATTCTTATACTTAATAGAGCAGTCACTTAACTCCTCTCTCTCTCTCTCTTGTGTGTGTGTGTGTGTGGAGGGAGGGAGAGAAGGGGTAGCTCTATCAGCGCTGGCTCTACAAATAGACAATAAGTCTCTCCAGTGAGACGAGAATGTGCCGTAGTTTAAACGTGCTCGTAAGTTGAGCTTAGCAGCGTCTAGTGTGCTTAAACTCAAGCACAGCCACACACGCGTGACAGGCGTATTGATCACTGTTAAAAACAAATTTTGCCCTCGTTTCGCGCGGCGCATTAGCAATGTCTGGCGATGTCCGTTGGTTTCCATCGTCCTGTCAGCGCCTTTATCCTTTTCCGGAATGAGTGAACTTTGCTGAAATCCCAAACGTGTACCTCGTGAATCCTTCCATATCGTTCGCGATCGAGTGCGACAGCTGTTGCATCTTGGGTGCACTTTACAGCGCTGTTTCAGCTGAGAGCGCTAAACCAGCAGCAGTGTTCAAAATATTGAAGACATTCGGGTGCTGTGTTCGCGTCTCGTCATCGTTTCCGAGAAAAGGGGACAATCGTTTTATGTCTGCTCTATTCATGAAGTTGCCGGCGATGTCTGCCCGTTGCTTTTGCGCCGGGGAACACCTATTTGTATTTGAGCAGCGTGGCTATATATCACTAACGTCGTTTCAGAACTTGTAAAAAACGTGCAGCTATCTTCGATATCCTTCATTCCGCTGCGGTCAACTGGTCTAACTAACCTAGCATTCTGTTAAAGCGTGCAGCCTGGTACCGCAACCTGATGACAAGCAGCTGGCACACACGAGTCGACTTCAGTCGTGTTGCTATGACAACCCATGGCAGTTTGACCCATCAGCTGCGGCTCGTAGTTACGCAAGCAAGAGGCTGCTGCTGCTGCGATGCTCGGCGGCCTTCGGAGGCTGAAGTCTCGTTGGTTCGATCCGGCGTCGTCGCCGTATCTGGCACGGGTAGCGCGGCCATCGATCGAGCCGTTCGCGGTGGCGGCAGTGCCCTTGGGTCGACACCCGATCTCGGCCACGCCGAGTCACAAACAGATCGTTATGCGCCGAGAACTATGCGCTGCTGTTGCTTCCACTCCACGTGCCGCGCCAGCGGTATTTACTCGTCCATCTGTTTCAGAGAGCGTGGTGTGCAACTTCTTTTTCTTCTTCTTGTGGATACGTTCCCTGCGCGCCGGCTTTTCGGTGTATCGGATTTCGTACGAGAAAGTGAAATATCGTTATCGCTTAATAACACTCGCTCTGAATTCTCGACTTCGATTCTTGTCTTTCTCTCTCTTTCGATTCCCGCGAACTGGTCGCTGGTTGTGCCAGCTGTCGAAGGCACAGCAGCCGAGCTATATCTTGAAACGACGCACAGTGGTGAGACGAGTGTGCTACTGCTTCCTTCCGTTTTTTTTTTTCCCCTTTTTTGTTGTTGTTTTGGTGCCGTGTGGTATAGTATGAATGGTGCGGTCGCGTTTGTATTGGTTGTCCGATGCTGTCGCGGGCGTCGAATCGAAATGTCGATCGGTCGTGCAGGCATGGTTGCGCTTTTACAGTCAGTGTAATGCGTACGCGATAGATCGAAAACGACCGCGTTGTTCGCTTGGAAACGGAGTGAACTACACAAATATGACAGTGGCGTTGCAGGATTATTACGATGCGTCCGTCGACGTAGTTATGGTAACTCACGTTCGACGCCATTCCGGTAGCGCTTGTTGCCAGGCGCCACCCTCACAGAGACCAGTGTAAAAAATTAAAGAACAGACGATTTCCCAAATCGAAGGAACAGGCGGTTGCAGCAGTTAAAAAGAAAGAATGACATTTGGATACCATGAAGGCTGTCGCTCAACGCTTGATGTATTTTCTCTTGTTAGTCTTTCTCTGACCAGAAGGTCACGGGGTCTGGTTTCGTCTTGGCGGTCGCATTTAGATGGCGGCAAACTGCTTCAGCCATGTGCCCTTGGATTTAGATGCGCGCTAAACAGCATTTGGTGATCGGAAATTTCACGAGCCGTCCACCACGGCGTCCCCCGTCATCATATCAGGGCTGTCCCAAAACCATGATATGATCATGAATCACGATTTTCCGTGAAAACCCCGGCAATTATTGTCGTTTCTACTCGCTAATGCCTTGTAAAACGAGTTTTAATCGCTTTTTACTGCAGCACGGTAACACAGACGATTATATTCGGAGAAAAATTAACGGATACTGAACGTGGTATGAAAGTTCGTTGTGCTAAGACCAGTCACCTTTCGGTGACGTTGATCTCTTGGTGTATAGCTGGTTAATTAAGGTGACACGGTGTTTGCGACCTGCGAAGCGGTCGGCGAAGTCTAGCCAGCTAGATTCCGGACGTATACTTATCAATCTTTCCTGTAGCGGGTTTCGGTGCGCTTGCGACAATCACGGGCTCGGTTTTCGAAGCCGGAAACGTAACGTAACCGAAGAAGCGTGGGGATCGTTTATTCCGCTCCACCGAGCCGAAAAACGGCGCCCAAGCGAGGCGTAGTTACGGATTGCGGCATCCACCGGCTGTTTAAGCGTTTAGCGACTACCGGTAGCTCGTGAACATTTTAGTTTTTTTTTTCGTTTTCAATCGTTGCGTGGTCGTAGCCGGGCACTATTGTGCCATATTGCCCGTCTTTGTCCCTGGATGCGTGCATAGCTCGCGTTGAGGCGTTTTGTCGAAGCTTGCTTTTCCGCAAACGGAGAGACTATGAGGAGAAGCAAATTTTTCTCTCTCAGTGTTGAAAGCTACTTTAGTAAGTGCGCTTGCAAGTCATACGTGCGTGCGAACCTAAAAGTATAACCTGCATACCTAACGATCATTGACCGTTGGCTAACGGACAATACATTCCATGAGTACATTTTGAAGTATCTGCTTTTGAACCGAGGCTATGTGCTTGTACCTAAAGGAGTCATGACACAGTCAACCAACAGTTCGCTGTGCACAGTCAACCAATAGTACGTAGTAGCAGTAGAGAGTATATTGCGCCTTTACAAACATTAAAAATGCGATGTCATGCATGGATAAACGATGATCTTGGGAAACCAATCCCAATATGGCTGGGTGCCTTCTGATGGCGTGTGAGCATTAAGTGCTTATTTCTTTTTTGTTGCGTAACTGTATAGCCTATAGTGAATTCTCACACTTGTGCGACAGACGGCGTTTCTGTGAATAATAATTAGCTGATGCGCATGATTTGTATCATGCGATGTTTCTCTGTTGCTCTCATGGAAGCCTTATCTTTACTTATAGCCCCGCCGTGGTGGTCTAGTGCCTAAGGTACTCGGCTGCTGACTCGCAGGTCGCGGGATCGAATCCCGGCTGCATTTCCGATGGAGGCGGAAATGTTGTAGGCCCATGTGCTCAAATTTGAGTGCACGTTAAAGAACCCCAGGTGGTCCAAATTTCCGGAGCCCTCCACTACGGCGTCTCTCGTAATCACATGGTGGTTTTGGGACGTTAAACCCCACAAATCAATCAATCTTTATTGATACACATATTCTAATTGTTTTCTGCTATGCAGAGAAAGATAACAAGCTTTGATGGGCCCGGCGAAGTTAGCCTTGTTTATCGCTTGGCTCCTGCTATGCAAAAAAAAAAAAAAATCGCTGGAAACATTGTCATGAATGTGTTCTCAATGCTGTGTTTGCTATGATGCCTCGGTGTTGTGCAATGCTATTAATTAAAGTTGAGCACTACTATCTTTATTTTGTTGGTGACAACGGCAGGGCTGTCAACATTCAATCACTGACGTGCGCTTTTTCTTGTCTTTGCAGCTTCCTCATGCGGACTCTCTCTGTGATAAGATAGACATCGAGGATTTGGGTGAGTTAACACCAGCCGCCGCTGAAATGCTTGCCGTGTCGCGGGTGTCACTATGTTTTTGATTCTCAAATCATAACTGGTAGATTACCACTATCCCTGAAGATATATATATATATATATATATATATATTTACCGCGTACTCACAGGAGGTTTTCAGAAGCTTAGAATGGGAACAGTTAGGGATAAGAGTTAATGGCGAGTACCTTAGTAACCTGCGCTTCGCCGATGGCATTGCATTGCTGAGTAACTCAAGGGACGAATTGCAACTCATGATTACGGAGTTAGACAAGGAGAGCAGAAAGGTGGGTCTTAAAATGAATCTGCAGAAAACGAAAGTAATGTACAACAACCTCGGAAAAGAGCAGCGCTTCGAGATAGGTAATAGTGCACTTCAAGTTGTAAAAGACTATGTCTACTTAGGGCAGGTAATAGCCGCGAAGCCTAACCACGAGATTGAAGTGACTAGAAGAATAAGAATGGGGTGGAGCACATTTGGCAAACGCTCTCAAATTATGACAGGTAGATTGCCACTATCCCTCAAGAGGAAGGTATATAACAGCTGTATCTTGCCGGTACTTAGCTACGGAGCAGAAACCTGGATTACAAAGAAGGTTCAGCTTAAATTGAGGACGACACAGCGAGCAATGGAAAGAAAAATGGTAGGTGTAACCTTAAGAGACAAGAAGAGAGCAGAGTGGATTAGGGAACAAACGGGGGTTAAGGATATCATAGCTGAAATCAAGAAGAAGAAATGGACATGGGCCGGGCATGTAGCGCGTAGACAGGATAACCGCTGGTCGTTAAGGGTAACTGACTGGATTCCCAGAGAAGGCAAGCGGGTTAGGGGGAGACAGAAGGTTAGGTGGGCAGATGAGATTAAGAAGTTTGCGGGTATAAATTGGCAGCAGCAGGCACAGGACCGGGTTAACTGGCGGAACATGGGAGAGGCCTTTGTCCTGCAGTGGACGTAGTCAGGCTGATGATATATATATATATATATATATATATATATATATATATATATATATATATATATATATATATATATATATATATATAATGTATATAACATAATGTATGTATATAACAGCTGAATCTTACCAGTACTTAACTACTGACCAGAAACCTGGAGGCTTACAAGGAGGGTTCAACTTAAGTTGAGGACGACGCAGCTACCGATGGAAAGAAAAATGATAGGCGTAACCTTCAGGAACAAGAAGAGAGCAGAGCGGGTCAGGGAACAAACCGGGATTTGAGGATATCATAGTTGAAATCAAGAAAAGAAATGGACATGGGCCGGGCACATATCACGTAAGCAGCATAACCGCAGGTCATTAAGGGTGATTCACCATATTCCAAGAGAACGCAAACGCGAGACAGGAAATTAGGTGGGCAGACTAGATTACGAAGTTTGCAGGTTTAACGTGGCATCGGAAAGCGCAGGACTGGGTTTAATGGAGGGACGTGGGAAAGGCCTTCGTCATGCAGGGAGAATAGACAGGCTGATGATGATGATGTCTTTGCACTTCAATACCGCTTACATATTGTATAGTCTAGTCCAATGTTCCACACCTCAGCTATCTATAGTACGGTAACAGTTTATAGGTCGGCCGGATTTCCTCATCATAGGCGGATGCCCGCGCCTATGGGCGCGCACTCTCTAATGACGTCACGAGTCGGTCGGCCAGTGACCCCGTGTTCGTGGAACATGACCGTGTTCGTGAGCGGGACTATTTCTTTAGTCGCTGAGTCGATCAGCTATTGCGCTTCGGTCGTCAGTGCGGGGCCCGTTTTCACTCACTGAGTAGTGCCTGACTATATATATCTGTTGCTTAATAAAGTAATCTGCTCGAACGACTGAGTTGATTTGAATGGCAGTGCTGGTAGCTTCCTAGATTTGTGCAATGGGGAACTATTCTCAACTGGAATGGAATGGAAAACAACTTTAGCGGGTCCTACGGAACGCGATTGGGTCGCTTGTCAAATATATATATATATATATATATATATATATATATATATATATATATATATATACGATGTTTCCTCTGTAAGCCCTATTCCACACTAAATAGAAGTTGAACTCTTTTTTTCACATAAAAAACTACCGCGAACTGCAAATACTCAGGAATCACGTTACACGCCCCGAAGCCTTCATGTTAGCAATATTAGTACATGGATCCTTGATTCACAGTCTCTGTCACCTAAAACATTTGCCAAAGAAAAAAAAAATAATGAAGGCTCCAACGAATTCTAGACATCCGTCCAATTATTTTTTCCCTTAATTATAGCTAAGCTTGATTACATCGAGGTTTTCTGGAACCTCTTTGCTAAGTTTAACAAGAAAATAATTAAAACAATACGAAAACAGAGTTTCTCGTTAGTGCATAGCACAGTTTTTTATTTTAATTTTTATTTTTAAATGAGCTAGGGAAATCTAATTGCATTTCATTGCTGGGATTGCAGAGAAGAGAAAGTGAGGCTGGAACTCATCTCTCGATAGTAACACTGTGACGATCGCACGTCCTGGGAGTCTTCAATTTCGCTCGTGCTCGTATCCAGTCTGCATTATTCTTCCACTCTTTCGCCTCTCGCGATCACGAAGCCCGAAGCTGTGTAGTAATAGAAGTGTCCTTCCGATTCCGCTATGTCCTTTCAGCAAGCGCTCACACTCCGAAGCGCTCACACTACAGCAGCCTCGTATTTTTCAGCTCGCTGATTGTCGCTGATGCTGACTTTTCAGTACTCACGGCCGAGATGTTGTATCCGTTGGGGAAAAGGAGTATTTTGTTTATTTATTTATTTTTTGCTACGTGATTGGTCAAGGCTCATGCTTGCGTCAAGAACGGGGGACGTGCTTTGCTACGTGATTGGTCAAGGCTCATGCTTGCGTCAAGAACGGGGGACGTGCGCGCGAGGCCGAACCATGCAGCAGTGGCGCGCAGCAGAAACGTTCGCCGGTATTTTAGAGCGAGTTCGACAACCCGGCCAGGCTGGTTACGAAAAACCCCAGGGAAGCGCATGCACGATGCTATACAGGAATACGAAATTTGCGCGATATGGAAGCATATATGACTGAATATTTACAGAATTTTGTTTTATATATCCTAATGGTGCTTCTACTCGATATTACCAGAGCTTTTTAATGCTATGGCCTGTATGGTATAAGTTGCTTTCGAACGCCAAAAACAGGCGTTGTTGAGACATATATAATGTGCCTTACGACGAACCTGTTGTAGATTATACGAACTGCCTTGATTGGAAAACGTATGTAACTTCCGGCGCACTTCAAGGTTTCTTTCTTTATTTTTTTTCTACTGCGCCAAAAAGTAGCCTAAGTTAAATAGCAAGTGCCATGTCCTGTACGCAGCGTTAATCATGCAGTTTTATCACAGCTGTATGTAACAGGGATAGCGTAAAAAATTACAAAATTAACCCGCCACGGTAGTCCAGTCACTCGGCTGCAGACCCGCATGCAGGTCGCGGGAGCGAGTCCCGGCCGCGGCGACTGCATTTTCGGTGGGGGCGAAAATGCTTGAAGCCCGTGCACTTAGATTTAGGTTCACGTTAAAGAACACAACAGGTGGTCGAAATTACCGGAACCCTCCACTGCGGCGTCTCATAATCATATGGTGGTTTTGGGACGGTAAACGCCGACAATTATTGTTCTTCTTAGCATGCAAAAAAAAGTATTCTATTGGGTGGTTTGCTAAAGGGAAATGTGTTGCTCTGAAACAGTATAAATTAAAATCAGATAAACGTACTTCAGGGGATGGTTGCCCGTTGTATGTGCGCACGCATCCAGATATTCGGCCCTGAATACGATTGCATTTTCATTTGTTCGAATGAAGCCTCTCAGCGAAACCAGTTGATAAAAAAAAATAACTACCGACAGTAAAAGCGAAAAAGAAAAAAGCCGTCTGTAGAGAACTCGTTAACGTTATTCTTTCGGCTTAGCGTGCTGCCGGTTTGGTGTGCCTGTTCTTTACGAGGGGAGATTAATTCTGAGTTCGGGTTGATAGAAAACTTTTTTTCCTGTTTCGGAGCTTACTCGCTGTTTTTGTAAATCACGGACATTTTGTTCGAGGCGTTGTGGTTGAAGCCGACATACTTCTGTGGGGAATAACAAGAGGTTTACCAGATATCTAAGCGCAGAATGAGCTCCCAGGGTCAGCATGCAGTGGCATCTTCTATATATATTGTAGCGACAACTTGTGATGTGCCCTTAACGTGTGTTTTGTCTCTTATCTCTTTGTTGTGCTGCAGGTGAAGATGAAAACATGCTGTTTGTAAAGTTTTTCAAGTATTATCGCTGCTACGATCTCATTCCTGTCAGTGCCAAACTTGTTGTTTTCGACACAGAACTGCTGGTGAGATATACCTTATATTGTTTTCTCCTTTGCTCCTTTTCATTGCGATAGCAATTATATTAACATTCCCGGCTAGCTTTTATATATATATATATATATATATATATATATATATATATATATTATATATATATATATACAATATGCATGTATGTGTGTGTGGGTGTGTGTGTGTGTGTGTGTGTGTGTGTGTGTGCGCGCGCGCGCTAGCCTCCGCTTTCTGCGAAGCGAATATCGCCTTGCCTGCCGGGGTCGTCTGCTCGTGTGCTTATCTCGTGAGCGAAGGAGGGGAAAGGGGGGCGCTTATGGTTGCCCCGCTATTGCGGCAACGATCAGCGCTCGCCTTGTGCCCCCACAGCAAGCTGGAGCTTCTACGAGCTGCGCCCTCAACACGAAAAAAAAAAATTGCCTGAAGTTTACTTGGAGTGGCCGTGTTCTCTTTTGCGTTTTGTAGAGTTACGCGAGATCGGATGCCAGCCTTTCTTCGTAAAACATTCGAATATGTTGCTATCGCATTCATTGCTTCGCCCTGTTGGCGAAACTGTGGCTTTTTTTTGTGTGTGTGTGTCGACGAAACTTCCCGCCCTAATTTTACCTTTGTTGCCTTCGCTTGTGCTACTTCAGTGCATGTAAAATAATCTGTAACGAGGCTGTCTGATATTGCTTATATTTCCTTCCGTTACACTTGTGCTCTCGTCGCCTACATTGAAATATAAGTTTGCGAAGGGATATTACTAGTAAATACGACCGTCGGCCTGGTTTTTTTTTTTTAATTTGCCGCTTCGTTTAATCGAACGACCATTAGCCAAAACCTCCTCAGCCGTGTGGAAGTTAAAAACCTTGCTTAAACGATTTAACGTTGTTTTGTCTTGGCAATGTGTCTGGCCCCGCCTTGACCTTTTGTTTCCACTGTTTCTCCGTTTTTCACTACGGACTCGTTTATTTGTCGCTGTAGATGCCAAGAGCGGACGAAAGTGCGAAAACACTGACGTCAGCCCGCGCGGTGACGTCAGTGCATCGCCCTCAACTGCGCGCTCCCGGCGTTCGCTGCGCGCTGCTTCCACGAAGCGCCGGTCACTGTCACACATCAGCTTCAAAAGAGAAAATGAAAAAAAGAGAGAGAGAAAGGGTGGGGGGAGATCATCGCTAGATTCCGCTGCCTCCGCCTATTTCACGATTGCCCCCACGGGAATGTAATTGACGCTGCCAAAGCTGACGGTGACGGGCTGTTTTCTTTTTGTTTTTATTGTTTCCGCGCAGGTCACGAAAATACTTGATTTCTCGTGACGCGTGCAATCGCCAACTTCCGTCGCATCTATCGGCAAATCGCTTTTCCTTCCTGCATGGCATGGAGGCGGAAATGTTGTAGGCCCGTGTGCTCAGATTTGGGCGCACGTTAAAGAACCCCAGGTGGTCGAAATTTTCGGAGCCCTCCACTGCGGCGTCTTTCATAATCATATGGTGGTTTTGGGACGTTAAATTCCACAAATCAATCAATCAATCAATCAATCAATCAATCAATCAATCATTCCTGCATGGCAAATTGCACCGCACCGTTTCGTTCGATCGCAGCGCCCTACGTGATGGCAGCGTCAGAAATTGCGTAAGCTAGCGCCGCCCGTCGGATGGGCTTCTCGCAGTAACACTTTGGGAGAGATGAGAAACAACCTAGAAATTAGTTTTGGCCTTGCAGTGAACCCGGAAGTACACGCGCGACAATGACGAATATAAATGGTGCAAGGACTAGCGATCGCAGATATGACATACGTGATCGGAGGCCATATTGCGCTAATCGCCAGATCTTGGAGGCCATTCTCCAGGCAACCACGGCTGCATAATCCGTGGTTCTAAGAATATTTCTTTGACAAAAGCCAGGGATGGGTTCACAGAAAAGATGTTTATTATTAATGAACGGCGGGCTGAGTTAGAGCTGACCTATATGATCCTCTTGGGGCCTGTTCGGAGCTTGAAAGTTGCCCCGCCGCTGTGGTCTAGTGGCTAAGGCACTCAGCTGCTGACCCGCAGGTCGCGGGATCAAATCCCGGCTACGGCGGCTGCATTTCCGATGGAGGCGGAAATGTTGTAGGCCCGTGTGCTCAGATTTGGGGGCACGTTAAAGAACCCCAGGTGGTCGAAATTCCTGGAGCCCTCCACTATGGCGTCTCTCATAATCATATAGTGGTTTTGGGACGTTAAACCCCGCATATCAATCGGATCTTGAAAGTCGAAACTATAGGCGGGCGCTAGGTTCTCCTTAGGGAGGGGGAGGGGGGGGACGAAGGTTTGTCGCAGCGTTTCCTTCCCTGTTATGTCGAAGTATGGGGCTGTCTTTGGCCCCCCCTCGCCCGCGTCGCAGCACCCCCTCCCTATTATGCCACAGTGTGGGACTTACTTTGTGCCCCCCCCCCCCCCCCCTCAGGAATACGCGGTCGTCCACCCCTCCCCTCTCAGCTGGCGCTCCTGACCAAGAGTTACTGCATATGCATTCAAGAGGCAAAGTCCTGAAGTTATTAACTTTGAGCCTCCATTCTATTGAAACTTTCTTTTTCGTGTTAGTAACAGTCATGTCTCTTTTTTTAACATAATATAAATTAAATAGGTACACTTATTCCTGTCTGCACTTTTTTTCCTTTAAATATACTTTCACAAATTTATTTTACACATAGGCACTACTAACTAAACTCTGCCGCTTTTAATAATGTGCTATGGCATTTATTAGCCGGCACACGGCGAGTATACAAAATGGCGACAGTAACGGCCAAGCACGGATTCTCCGCGCGGGCGGCGTTCTTTTTGGGTAGACCCACTAGAAAGCACTCGAGTTCGACCCATTTTAGTGTTCGGCGGCTTCTCTACAATTACCCCGGGGTCGAAGAGGGAGCCGCCTGGTGACCTAACAGCTTGTCACTACGAGCGGGTCATAATAAGCCTTCAGGCGCTCCACGTTGACTATGTCGCGCCCACGATGGCGCATGTCCGAAGATGGTTCAATTGGCTCGATAAGATAGTTGACTGGAGATGTGCGCTTGATCACACGGTAGGGACCTTCATATTTCGGGAGTAGTTTGGAAGAAAGGCCAGCTACAGAGGTCGGGATTGAGAGCCATACAAGGGAACCGGGAAGGAACGTGGGTCTCAGAAGTGGCGGAGCCATCACGAATACTCTTCTGCTGCTCTTGCTCATGCAGTCGTAAACGTCTTGGCAAGATCGCGACACTTTTCAGCAAGCCTGGCGGTCTCGGAAATAGGTGTACACTCAGATGGATCCGGCGTGTACGGGAGTATCGTGTCGATGGTGTGTGGACGGGTGCCGTCCGTACAGCAAGAAGAAAGGTGAAAAACCGGTCATGCTGTGAGGGGCGGTGTTGTAGGCGTAGGTAATGAAGGGCAGTATAGTATCCCAACTCGTGTGGTTGGCGGTGACGTACATCGACAGCATGTCGCCAAGGGTGCGGTTAAAGCGTTCGGTCAGACCATTCGTCTGCGGGTGGTAAGCAGTAGTTTTGCGGTGGACAGAATGGCACCCAGTGCAAATGGCGTCGACGACTTCTGACAAGAAGACACGGCCTCGATCGCTGAGAAGCTCCTGGGGTGGACCGTGGCGCAGTATGAATCGATGCAGTAGGAAGGACGCAACATCACGCGCAGTAGCCGCAGGGAGAGCGGCGGTTTCGGCGTATCGCGTTAAATGATCTGTGGCGACGATGGCCCAGCTGTTGCCAGTGGATGTAAGAGGGAGTGGTCCATACAAATCGATACCTATGCGCCCAAACGGACGGTCAGGGCAAGGCAACGGTTAGAGACCGGCTGGTGACATGTGTGTGGACGGTTTGCGGCGTTGGCAAGCGAGACAGGAGCGAACGAACTGCTGGACGTAGCGGTACATCCCGCGCTAGAAGTAGCGTTGTCTAATCCGATGGTAGGTTTTGAATACCCCAGAGTGCGCGCATTGTGGATCAGAATGGAAGGATTCACATATCTCCGACCGCAGACTGCGGAGTATCACGAGTAGCCACTGCCGGCCATCGGCGTCGTAATTGCGTTGATGTAGGAGGCCGTCACGAATGGCGAAATGGTGAGCTCGACGACGCAAGGCATGCGTGCATGGCGTTGCGGACGGATCAGAGAGCAAGTCGATCAGTTGGGCGATCCAATTATCCTTTTGCTGTTCTGTAGCGATGATTTCAACATCAATGGCAGAAACAGCAACCGAGGATACTGAGCAGAGCACGTCAGCTTTAGGCAGAGGGGAGCGCGAGAGGGCGTCGGCGTCAGCATGCTGGCGTCTGTTGCGGTAGAGCACGCGGATGTCGTAGTCTTGTAAGCGAAGAGACCAACGGGCGAGGCGGCCTGAGGGATCCTTCAATGATGAGAGCCAGCATAGTGCACGATGGTCATTGTCGACATCGAACGGGCGACCATACAAATAAGGTCGAAACTATGTAATGGCCCAGACGATCGCCAGGCACTCTTTTTACGTGACAGTGTAGTTTGTCTCGGCTCTCGTGAGTGTACGGCTTGCATATGGCACGACATAATCAGGGAACCCGGGTTTGCGCTGCGCCAGGACAGCGCCGAGGCCTACACCACTGACGTCCGTGCGCACCTCCGTTGGGGCCGTAGGGTCGTAGTGGCAGAGAATGGGAGGAGACGTCAACAAATGGCGGAGCTTCAAGAACGCGTCGTCGCACTCTGATGACCACGAATTGAGGGGCCCGTTACTTCCAAGGAGCTTCGTCAGCGGTGATATAATCGTGGCAAAATTTCGTATGAAGCGTCGGAAGTATGAGCACAGGCCCACGAAACTACGTAGTTCTTTGACGGACGCAGGTTTTCGGAATTCGGCCACGGCCCGAAGCTTGGCTGGGTCAGGAAGAACGCCATCCTTGGACACGGCGTACCCTAGGATGGTGAGTTGGTGTGCTGCAAAGCAGCACTTCTTCAGATTTAGCTGCAAGTCGGCATGGCTCACACATGCGAAAACTTCTTTTAGACGTTGGAGATGCGTGGGGAAATCTGGAGCGAAGACAACAACGTCATCAAGGTAACACAAGCTTGTGTGCCATTTCAAGTTGCGCAGAACGGCGTCCATCATGCGCTCAAATGTCGCAGGTGCATTACACAAACAAAACGGCATGACGTTGAATTCGTACAAGCCGTCGGGTGTGATGAAGGCAGTCTTCGGTCGAGCGTCATCAGCCAGGGGTACTTGCCAGTACCCCGAGCGCAGATCGAGAGAAGAAAAAAATTGGGCTCCGTGAAGACTGTCGATTGCATCATTGATGCGCGGCAGTGGGTAGACATCCTTGCGAGTGATCTTATTGAGCCGTCTGTAGTCTACACAGAACCGCACAGAACCATCTCTCTTCGCAACAAGGACAACGGGAGGCGCCCATGGACTGTTCGACGGCCGAATGACGTCACGTCGGAGCATATCGTCAACCTGCTCGTTAATTTCCCGGCGTTCAGCAGGCGACACGCGGTATGGACGTTGCCGTAATGGTGGATGGGCACCAGTGTCGATACGATGCGTAACAGTGCACGCGCGACCGAGAGAACTTCGCCCGACATCGAAAGAAGAACGCTATTCTTGCAACACGTCTAGAAGCTGGGAACGCTGTACTGATGTAAGGTTGTTACCAATGTATGGGCCAAATACATCAGGAGATGATGGGTCAGAAGTAGAAACAGCACTGATGGTACGCAAATCGGGACAACGCGAGTTTTCGGGTACATCCAGGACTTGTGCGTCGTCGACTGGTTCCACTCTGCTGAGACATTCCCCTCGAACCAAGGTAACACTGTACGGGGATTGGTTGGTTACGAAAATAGCGGCTTTGCCCTGGGTTATTTGCACGGTCGCGAAAGGTACTAGCAACCCTTTCTTTTTGAAATCACGGTCGGATGGTGAAACGAGCGCAATTGTGTCGAAGAGACCGGTGCAGTAGACCGATACACCCATCGTCGAGCTTGGAGCCACTATAGTATCGTCTTTCACGAGAATCTTGCTCAGTGTCGAGGGACCGTCTTCTGGCGTCAAATGCGAGAAGGGCGAGAGTTCACTTTCGGCGGCGGCACAATGAATGAGGGCGTCGTTGCGGGAGAGAAAATCCCATCCCAGGATGTCGTCATGAGAGCATGCAGGAATGATGATGACTTGGGCGACATACAGAGCGTCCTGAACGACAACGCGAGCTGTGCAGCCTGCTGTAGGATGAATACGATGTGAGCTAGCGGTACGAAGGGACAACCCAGAAATCGGCGTCGTCACTTTTCGAAGCAAGCGTCAAAGGTTTTCGTTCATAACTGATACCGCAGCTCCAGTGTCAATAAGAGCAGATGCATGAACACTGTCCACAAGCACGTTAATGACATTAGGTGGGCGGCTCTGAGGGCTTTCACAATGCGATAGCGTCGCAGTCTTTGCCTCTGGGACTGCGACGACTAGTTTTGAGCAGCCGCACTCGGGCGCATTGGGGACAGGGAACAACGCCGTGGAGACGGCGATCTTCGAGGTGGACCTGGGCGAGACCGAGGTGGCATAGATGGCGGTTCTTCGCGATAAGGGCGGCTGAGTTGGCCAGCAACAGGTGAAGGAATTGGACCCGGCTGTACGCGATGGCAATAACGGGCCACATGACCGGCGTAACCGCACGCAAAGCAGATGGGCCGGTTGTCGGGTGTGCGCCATCTGTTCACCGGGGTAGGTCTCACCCATGTTGCAAGGGCCGATGGACGGAACAGTGGCTGCATGGTGGACTGAAGCTGAGGCTCAGGAGTTACGTCAACATACGTAGCGGGCATACCCGCTGCAAAGAACAGAGGTCGAGCGGCAGCTTCGGCGTAGGTCAGAGGAGCGGGTGCTGGAACGACTTGGGGCGGCCTGGCAACCACTTGTGCGTAACTCAGGGGCGCAGGAGCCGGAGGCTGTGGGGGGTGGTACGCAGGCATTACCTCCGCTATTTCCTGTTCAATCGCTCGACGGATGGGAGGGAGAAGAGTAGTAGCCGATTGTTGAACAGCCGGTTGGTGGGCAAAGGGCAGGAGCGAGAACTGACGCCCGATTTCCTCACGGATGAAGGACTTTAGGTCTGCCATCAACGCCACTCGGTCACAACTGGCCTCTAAGCCAGCAAGCATTGCAGCTCGTTGTGGAGAGCTGCGGGTCATCGAACGCTGCCGGCGGAGCTCCTCGTAGCTCTGGCACAGTGTGATGACCTCAGCCACTCGACTTCTCTACAAATGATAATTTTCAGTGTTTGCAAACTACAGTGTGCTTCTAGTTTTATACCCAGCACAGATGATGTTTATTGCAAAGCTTGAGCAGCTTTTCTAGTTAATTGCAGCTGCATTCCTTCCTAGTTCATTGCTCAGATGTAACCACACTAGATGGAAGTAATGATAACATGCAACACGACTCAGTCATGGTGGGCATTTTAAGATGTTTTTTTAGATTTTGTATCTCTTTGTAACAGAGCATTTCGGGCACTCTCTATATACCGTGCGTGCACTGCCTGTGTTACAATTATCACTAACATTGAAATAAATTATGCAGCTCTGCAAATGAGGTGGCTTTTAATGGAGACTCTAATGGCAGTTTTAAAGTCACTGGAAAATAGTGGCGACAGGTCATGCATCTTGCTGGTCACTAGAGCACCATGTAGTCTGAAAACCAAGATTGAGTGATTGTACCAGTGAAGGCTAGATGTTCACTGGAGCATGTGAAGCCATTGCTGGGATGTTTCTGAAGCATATTAGTCTGCAGCTTGTCACCACTTCAGGGCCATGCAATGTCACTTGCCTGTATACCTTTCGTCTATTCCATTATTACACATGCATATCTTGCGATGTTATGTTTCTTTATTTTCCAGGTAAAGAAAGCCTTTTTTGCCCTTGTGAGCAATGGTGTGAGAGCAGCTCCACTCTGGGACAGCGCCAAGCAGGAGTTCATCGGTGAGTCTAGCTCATCAAGACAATAAGAAAACTTTAGAATATGCGAGACATATTTGTACTAAATCAAGGAAACGTTATCTCACGAATGTGTCATAAGAATGCTATAACCATTCCACCAAATTGAAATGTTGAATATCTGCTTATATATTATACACCTTGCCTTGCTGCACCCTTCGAAACTTATGCGGGCTTCCTAATGTACCCCCTGGGAATCGATGTTGATAACATGAGTGGTGTGGCCTCCTACACCCCTTAAAACTGTGCTGTTGCGATTTCATAAAATGTGTGCAGTGCCACCAAGCTTACCGATTTGGCCAACCTAACTCTTGTATCCTTTATAAAACGTGGTGTCTCTAATTCTGTAGTTTTCGAAAGTACGAAGAGCTTTGCTTTCCAGTAGGAGTGGCAAAGTTGGTCTTGCTTGTGCCACTTTTTGCAGCCACTCAGTTTATAGTTGTTGGCCGGCTATCTCGCCTTCATAAAATTAGTAATGTCGAAGGTTGGGCTGACTGGTTCTTCAGGATCTGAAGTGTAATGGCACAGCCCAGGATGAGGGCAGAAGTCTAAAACAAGCCCGCCGTGCAACCTTAGTCGTCTAAATAAAAGCTAGAGGAATCCTTTTTTTTTTTCTGTTTGGCTTTTCTTCTAGTCCCTTTTCATGTTAGTATTACATTTCAGATCATTTAGACCACGAGCCGGCAACTTGCAGGCTGCCGGCCGCATGACCGCACGCGGCCTACGAGGCAGTATTATGCTGTTCTCGGCATGGCGTCAGAGCCCCCCCTTTCCTCCTGTCGCTTCTATCATAAGACCAACATGACATTTGGACCTCAAATGGCTTCCATTTGGCATTGTGCCCTATACTCAGACTTGGCTAGAATTCAGCCAAAGTTTAGGCGAAATTTGTACATCATTGTCAGTTCAGCGAAATTGTTCGGTGAACTGACAAGCTAGCCTGCAAAGCTCCCTCCCTCTTGACTTGCCATGCAGCTGCCTGCCTTGTCCGTTTCATGCAATTTGGCCCTGCACCTCAAAAGGTTGCCAACTCCTGATCTAGACTGGCTCCTTCACAAACTCCGTTTACCTGTAATATGCCATCAATTTATCGACAAGCTTGCTTTGCGCCGGGTCAATATTAGCTCTGCATTGCCCTGATTAACATGTGCACTGTACTCTATCGATACATCTAAATTCTGATGTAGTATGAAAATCTTGACACCTATTAGTAGTGTTCCTAATAAACACTAGGAAGAATTATCCATCATTAAAGAATTGGAGAAGTCCTTAATAAATAATTAGCGTGCTAATTGAGGTACAGCTTCAATAACATTTTGTAGTAACTTTTGTGAAGGGTGACTTTCGACATCGAGAAATAAATGTGACTGCTCTCATTTTTCTTAATGTTGACCTTTGTTCAGGTATTGCTGGGTTAAAGGTGATGCTCACCTAATGGCACTAATAAATAATACATGTGATCGAAACCTTAAAAGAAAGATTACTCTCATAATGACATAGCTTTTCAATAGAACCCATGCATTGTTTATTAGAGGTCATCACAGTAAGATGTCTAGAACAGAATGTGGCTGTTGGAACTTAATAATAATTCAATGATAATGTCATCAGGAAATCTGAGAGAGAATGTTACGACAAATACTTTGTAGGTGAATGTCAGATAGCTATTGCTTTGCTTCTGTTAATGGATGCTATCTAGCAAATGTGTTTGTTGGTGCTTCTGTTAATGGATGCTATCTAGCAAATGTGTTTGTTGGTGCAACCTCGTAATCCTGTTGATTGGCTCTCGCCAGCATATGTATTACTTACGAAATCCTGCTTCTCACTTGCTCTGATAAGTGACATTGCACTTTCCACTTTGCATCCAGGGATGCTCACCATCACAGACTTTATTTACATTCTGAGGAACTACTACAAGTCTCCCTTGGTCAGTACTGTGAATCGGCTTTCTTGAAGGTTCTTCTTTTCAGAGTATATTGGGAACTGACGCCTAAAATTTACTGCAGGTGCGAATGGACGAACTGGAGGAACAAAAGATCAAAGCATGGAGAAGTAAGTTACATCTGAAAGCCTTACCTCACTACAACATTTTCAAACAACACTTGAAATTGAATGTCACTGGCACTTAAAAAAAAGTGAATCCGCATTTTTGCAGCTATACATGCTAATGCACCTACAGAAGTTTTAAGAGAACTTCTCTTTTTCTTTACAGAAGTCCTCAATGACACCTCAAGGCCATTGGTGCACATTGGACCTGATGCAAGGTGTGTTTCAACATGCCAGAACACTAAACTTCCCGCATGTTTACTGACCACCAAATATCAACTAACAGATATGACTGAGATTTAGTTAAATCTTTTTGAACATGAATGTGACGTGCTGTAAAAGAACTGCTGTGACCTTTCATAATTATGACAGTTCAGAAGCCAGTGGTAACTGTCTTGGAAGCAAATGTTGCTGTATGAATGTTCTGCGGTGTTATCTACCTTGCTATTTATTCTGTTTTGTTTTGTTTCTTGTAGTCTGCAACAAATATAGCACATTCTGCTTCCAATTTCACTCGAGGCAGTCTGAGAGTACTATTTTACAAAGGCAATGAACTTCTTGTGCTTCTTTCTTTTTATTTTTGTTCTTAAGCTTGAATCTTTTGTTTTCTGCAAATAGTGAACACTAGTTTGAATGATCACCGTCAATTTGGGGTGATTTCAACGACATCTTTCTTATCCACTTTTAGTAAAAGCGGTATAAAAGGTCACTTTTATCTTGTGGGGTATTGCAGGATGAATATATCTGAACTAGTGCCTGTCAAAGGATTCTTCTGGAAATTCAAGCACTGATAGGTGCTGATTCGGTAAACAATACACGTGCCCTCATGTAAAAGAAAAACTTCTGATAGTTTGTGAATATTTTAGAAACATGACAATCTGCTGTCAATTTGAATACAAAATATTTCCTCTCTTATAAATACACGTCTGCTTTGGAATCCATCTGGTTACAAGTTTTTGCCCACATCACTTTATGCATGCGCATAATGCTGTTTAGAAAACAACAGATAAATTGAGGAGCTTAATAATCTGTTTTCCAGCTACCTAATTCAACATGACAATGAAAGCAGTAGTAAATGAGAACTCCTTGCAGTATGCACATTGTGTTGAGCTCAGCTCGAGGATCCAGGTATAATACTACAGCCCTGTATGTTTGTTGGAAAGGATGCATCAAATATGAAAAAGATGGGCCAAATAAATTTGATTTGTTTTAAATGAAACAATATCATAGAATGCATAATGATGAGGATATTATCCTAGAAAAGTTCCCTAAGGAACTCCTGTACAGTACCTAATAAATTGTCATAAAGGGACCGACAATCAATTATTATGGTACTATTTTTTTTTATGGAAAGCTTACCATTCAGTGAGTCTGATCACGAAACTGCAAAGTGGAAAATGCTGCGGAACATTTGTAATCAAAATTTTTCTATCTACAGCGGATATGATGTATACTCGCATGCTGCAAACGATGAGCGTGGGAGTGGTTTGCGTTCGAGCATGGTGGTTCACTGCGCATGCCCTGCGGCTCGACTTGGTTAACTTGGTCCACTCATCGTGCAAACTCTCTTATGTCGCAAGCAGCCCAGAATCGAGACGAGCTGGATAATAATATACATACTCTAATTTTGAATAATGGCGCGCATCACAGCATCGGGCTGCGCAACTACGTCCAGGAAAGTGGTCAACTTAATATTTCATTATCCAACTTCAGTTCTCTTCCGCTAGGCTGCACCACATGACGGTTTTTGTCACTTTTAAGTGCGATTACAAAATATAAATTTTACTCACAATGCAATAAAAATGCTGAAATTCGTGACTATATTTCATAGTCTTTCCATTTCTATTAAGATCTAATCAAACCTTCTGGCCAGTTGTCGGTCCCTTTACACTTAAAAAAAGTGTTATTCCTTATATCCAAATGCAAACAAAAGTTTTGTGCAGTGAATTTTTAACCAAATACGATTCAAAGAGTATAGCCTGCCAGATTTATATTCAAAATATTAGATGTTCATACACCTCACTAAATAAAGTAGTAAAAATTTAATAAGAAAGTCATGAGCAGCGTGACTTCTACAAAAAAAAGCTGCACTTGCCTCTTCAAGTTTTAGCTTGTTGTGGCAAAAGGCCTTTGCTAATCATAATTGAATTAGCTTTATTAAAAATTTAATTTCATTCATTAATGATGCATTATATTGGAGATATTGCAGCATTAGAAACGGTTCCGAAAGAGTCGGTCAAACATCAAAGAAGTGATGCTGTGTTTTTATCTCTGTATGTGTACCTGTACTCACAGTCACTCCTTGCTTTCTTTTGCAGCCTGTGTGATGCGATCACAACGCTCATTCACAACAAGGTGCACCGACTGCCAGTCATTGACCCACAAACGGGGAACGTACTCTACGTTCTGACACACAAGCGGATTCTTCGCTTCCTTTTCCTTTATGTGAGTAGTCGAGAGAAGGTCAAGTGTTGGAGAGCCATTCTCAGTTCGTGTTCTGTAGAATCTACAAGCTCACTGTTCAAGCCAAAGCTGTCTTAAATGTAAATTATTTTTGTTGAGCCTCTGGTATCTTTTTATCTGATGTCATAGGTTGTGATAGGAGAAAATTGAATGGTATAAATAAAGCATCATCAGTTAAAGATCAGATCAAGTGTGGGTCAACAGCGGTGCTTATAGAGAGTTATAACATGGCTGCCAAAAGACTGAAAGTGAAGTATATACTAGAGTAGATGGCGGCGGGAGGAAGGGGGCTATGTCGGCGGTGGCAGCAGCACCAGCAAATTTTAAAAAATGGGCATAATATAGAGAACGCTGAAATCTACATTTAATTCATGAAAAAGTTTTTCTTCCCAAAGCCCTGTAAATGCATATTTTAAAGGATTAGGACATTCATACTCATTATAGCTTTGGGCAATTATTGAAGTTCAAGCCAATCAATCTATTGATAAGATAGCTGCTGCTGAAGCAGAATGTAGTCGTCCATCTTTATCTGGAATACACTTTCACCCAGCAGTAAATTTAGAATAGGCCATTAATTATTATCTTTTTGTTGCCATTTCATTACTGATATTTTGATCACTGTGCATAGATTAGTTCCTTGCGATCTTTGTACTTGCCGTCAACATTTTTTGTGCTTCTGTAGGATGTTCTAGAAGTGTACTAATTAATTGTATTCTTTTTTTTTTATCTTGTGTGCAGTACTACGAGTTGCCCCATCCCAGCTATTTGGATCAGACACTTCGGGAGCTGAAGATTGGGACATATGAAAATATTGCCACGGTAATAGAATTTTGTGTCCAACTATGAACACATCCTTGTAACAAAATTCTTGTCCTTGAAATGTTATAATGATAGTTTTATTTCATCAAGAAAATAGTAATGATGTTTTGTTTCATCAGAAAGATAGTAATAGTGATGTTTACTAATTAATTAGTTTTTGCAACATCAGCAATGCATTTGTATGCATGGCAGCCTCTCCGTAAGCATAGGTCAGCTCTTTTTACTTATTATGTGATAGATATATAAATAAATGTCTCTTATTTATGGATAAATTAACTATGCCAGGCCCGAATAATTATTCCTACCCACTTGCCAAAAGTGATGAGCTCAAATTGTACTTGATTCCCATTCAGTTGAGATGGTCTCAAAGTTTATTCAACGGTAGTCTTGCTGCCATTGTATCACTACAAAACTTATTTGTGTGATCACTGTTTGACATGGTATGTGGTTCTTTATTTTTCTTTTTTATTCTAACCCCTCAACAGACAAAGCCTAGCACGCCATTGATTGTGGCACTAAATCAATTCATCAAAAGAAGAGTGTCTGCATTGCCAGTGGTGGATGATCGAGGAAAAGTCGTCGACATCTATGCCAAGTTTGATGTTATTGTAAGTAACAGCCTTGTTTGAAGCTTTCAAATTGCCAGGTTCTCTTCTGTAGAGTGTGTATGTTCTCATGAGGCCCGTAATATTTTTCGTTTCAATGTTTCCAGTTATTTCATGCTTGGAATGTTTCTCTTTCCTGGGACTGCTCCCGAGTTGTGAAGTTTCTGTATCTTGCTTATTGCCATTTATTCTAGCTTGATGGATATGTTTACTAGATATTAACTGTAGTTAAAACTTGATTTAACAAAGTGATGACTATGCTGAAATTGTGAAAGTCATTTTTCTGTCATTTGAAACCTAGAATTCTAACGTATTTAGATGCTACAATGGCATTTTTGGTGGTGAACCATGCCAGCATGTCTGTTAAGTCCACAAAAGTAGCCATAGAGCTAGCTGCCCAGGCATGGAATGATGCAGGCCAAGAAGGTGGTCATGTGAATTATCACAGGTTAACAGTATGCAATGACAAGAGAAACGAATGTAGTGACTGTTCAAGCGGGCCGAGCAGGAAAGTTGCGAGGAGATGATCAGTTCTATCTGCTGCATAAACCATGAATTAATAAAAGAAACTACCACCAGTACGTATGAACGCTACCATGTGTGTGTGTTCTGTGCAACGGTGCGGCGTGCAGTCTGTTCAAGGTAAAGAGCCTAGGTATTTTAACGCAATAGAGTTGGAGCACAAACTTGAAGAAAAACCTGGTTTTCTCCAACTTAGGTGAAGTCGCTGCCTTTTTACATTGTTATTTCAAGAAAAACTTGGTTAGATTGGGTTTCGGTCAAGTTAGCTTGTTAATTTGAGTTGATGACAACACTGAATTCTCTATGATTATTTTGAGTGCAATGAGATTTCTTTGTTAGACCAGAAACTTTGTAAGATTCAAATAGGTTTCATTATCTGACTGTATTTGCTTTCTTTCTCATGAGTTGATAATGGATAATGTAAAGTGTCATATTCATTGTTTAGCTGCATTTATTTATGTATATGGGGACTACACCTTAATTGTTACTGTTGGTTAATTCAAGTTCGCCCATGTAATTTCTTTTGATTCTTGCAGAACCTGGCAGCTGAAAAGACATACAACAATCTTGACATTACAATCAAGAAAGCTCTGGAGCATCGTGATCAGGTAAGCTCTAGCAGAATCACTCTTAACCAGTCTTTAAAATTGAAGTGATTTGATGTTTTCTATCAAAACATTGTACATTTTAATAAAACTAGATAGAATGAAGCATGAATATGACATAAAAGTTCTATTTCAGGTGAAAATTTTATTACACGAACTAGGAACTCTAAGGCTGACTACAATCAATAGTTTAATGAATTTTTACTATAAGGAGAAGAAATTTTGCTATAGGGAGAGCCATTTGCACTGACCAGGGATGTGTGAGCTAGATGCATTTGGCTACATCTCTTTAGGCACATACTTTTCGGGCCTTGAAAAATAAGAAACGGGTGCTACAGTCAGTTATTTAACCCGAAGGTGAACATATATAAAAAAAGAGTGCAGCCTAAAGTAGTGTGACATGGTCAAAACTTAATAACTACTAATGGGCTTTTGTTGCATTGTCGTATTGGAAATGATAAAATTCTATGGTCTCTGTATGTTATGGGACAGCATTAAAGGTACTGACAACTGGCCAGAATGTATGCTTAGATCCTGGTGGAAAAAAAGAGACTATGAAATATAGCGACAGGTTCAAGCATCATTTTCGGGAGCTGAGTAAGATTTATATTTTAAATCGCCCTTAGTAAAAAAAAACAAAAACTATGTCATGAGGCCTAGCAAGAGAGCCTCGAAACTGTATTATGCACTCATTCATTTTTTCGTTTGTAGTGTGATGTTTTTATGGATACCAATATTAGTGCTCAATATTCAAAAGAAGTGGCAGGGCCTTCATGTCAACTAGTGGAACATGTCGAGAGGCAGCACATGCACGTGGAATGCTTGCAAGCACTCAAAGCACCAATACAAAGGACTCTCATGCTCAACTCCCATTGTTTTCAGTGTGTGTTGTGTGTATAAGACTTGATAGTTACTGCAGACACAAAATTCTCCACCGCACTGAGAAACACAGGGAGCATAAAGATTGGTTGATGAAACATAATGGCGTAATAACAATGGTGTAGCTTCGGTTGAACATCACCGGATGATAATTTTAGGTAATGTGTGTCTTCAATAAAATGCTTCCGCCTTCTTGTCATCCCCCCCCCCCCCCCGCTACATATATTTTTGGACACTCGGTACCACTAGATGCTTTGATTTAGCTAATTAGGAGCAGTGAATGTACGATGTTAACTCAGGATTAACATATTGCTGTTACCGAGGGTGTTGATATTTTCGTAAGTGCTTTGTTGTCTCGACACAAATATATAACCACTTTTTTATGCTGTTTTTTTTTTTCTTTCCTTTTCAGTATTTTGAAGGGGTGCTCAAGTGCACGTTGGACGACACACTAATGGCTGTCATGGAGAGAATTGTCAAGGCTGAGGTAGGCTCTGATTTTTTTATTATCTGATGATGTTTTTGTGAGCTGTTTTATGAAAAATAAAATTGCTCACATCCACTGAAGAGCAACTTCAGTGGATGGCACTTCACTTCAATTGACATAAACCCGACGTGACGGCTGTATGATAGGAGTACGGTTGTATTGTTATAAGATTGGACAGCCAGCACTGCAGCCACAATGGACATTGACAAGTATTATGCTTGAATAGTGTCTTCATAAAAAAGAAGTATCGTGATCTGGCGTGGCTCCTGCATGCCAATCACTAGATTGGCATGCAGGATGCTTGGGTTCGATTCCTGCTGGGGTCCTGATACATATTTACTTTTTGTGTTCGTCGGGACAACGCTGCCAATATTAACGTTTCTCTTTAACGCTCTCGCGTTGAAATTACCTATGTCTGTTTTCGTTCCTGGGTATACATAAACTGTCAATCAACTCTGGCACATACCCGCATACTTGAGGCATGTACCCGCCCGTGGTGTATGGGTATGGGCCACACATGTATGGAGGAAAGGGTTGGGCGACGTATGTCGCAGGATTGTCACATTCTTCATGTCATGTCCAGCGAGTCATATTTGTCAGACGATCTTACCCTCTGTCACACACTTCGAGCGAGGCCCCGCTGATCCAACATCGACGTGCGGCAGACTCGCAGGCTTCCGCTTCACGCTTCGGCCTGCGATGCCTGAAAGGCCTTGAAGTGGCACATTTCAAATTTATTTTCAGGTCTGTCGACCCTTGTGGAGTTGGCACGTGTGGTGATGAATGAGCCTGATGGACGCACTCATAGAGCAGACACGGAGATTTGATTACACACAAACAAGCATTTAATTAAAACAAGGGCAAAGGCAGGAGTTAAAAAAATAACAGAGGAAGAGAACTGATACGCGATGAAAAAAATGACTATAAAACAAACTATGCTCTAAAGGAACACCACAAGAGGTACAAACAAAGACAAATATGCAGAATGTTAATAAAATAACGACAAGATGAAAATCAGAAAAGAGGAATAGAAGGAAAATTACATGAAAAAGATCTTGGTCGTGCTTTTGAATTTCTACCTGCGACGCAGCGCACACAACTACACATATTAAAAAAAAGGCTGGTTATAATAAATTAAGTGTAAAAAAAGTCACAATAAAAAGTTCCATACGGACCAGGCCAGCTCTTGGTACACGTAGGGGAGTTGACGGGTGCCGCTGAAGATCTCGCCGGCTCGGTAGACGACGAGGGTGCCCAGAATTGCAGCCGTCTCAATACGATGCACGGGTCACTTCATGCTCCCCACCTATGCGAGACTCGCAACACCGACGACCGCAATTCTTGCTGGCTGTACGTCAACTGCCTATTCCGATGCAGTCCAAACTTTTTCAGGGGCGTACGCGTGCTCCCATCCCATCGGGAGGTCATTTCTCTTTTTTAAGACCGCCCGTGCCCCTTTCGGTATAGGTGCAGAGAAGACAAGCTGGCGCCACGCTGAGTCGTTAGTCGCCGGATGTCGTCCACCCAACACAATAGCGCCCTTTCTTGGAAGATGGGGCCCGCGGATGATCTGAAAATTGGAGTCGTTTGTGACACCCTCGCATACTAATTTTGGTCCACTCCAAGCCCAGGGTGTTACCACAAGAGCACCCAGATGTAGGCGGCTAGATAGATAGGTAGACACATACACTAAAAGTGCCTGCAGTATTCAAAGAAATGCTTCGCATTTAATGAACTGAGCTCACTATTGCGTAGGGGTGATTGCTATTTATTGGATATGATCATGCCTTCAACATTTCAAACACATTGTTGCACACAATAATGCTCGATCGGATGCCCAGTACATTAGGTCGTGAGTGCCACAAGGCAACTTTTAGGCTCTCTGTTGTTTTTATCGTAGTTAAATTAGATATTTTATTTTAATATACCAGTCAGCATATGCTGACAACATTACTGTGCTCATCATCGGTTGCAGGGAAAATAAATTATGTTTTGTAGAAAATAAGTTCCTGCAATACATATGTCAGTGTTTGCAGCAAAATTGCGTGAAAGTTACGTAGTCAGGAGTTTAACTTGTCATGTATAAAGATGAGGGTGTCGAAGCGCAGTCACTCACCAAGTCAAGGTTACTAATAAAGACACACTTTTTAGGACCCATATGGGTTTTGTTCACACTCAAGCGGATTCTGTCAAAATGACCAAGTCACCTTGACTTTGTCAGTGACCGCATCTGCTTGAAAATTGGCATAAACAAAACTAAAGCAGTAAATTCTTGAGCAAGAAACAATGTTGTGAAGGATATTGTGCATAAGTTTAAGGATGGGTGAATAGAAATCATGCGTTATATGAAATGCTTGGGAGTAATTTTCTTAGAGTCTATTAATAGGGATGCACAAATTAACATACGATCAAAAATGAATAGAGTTAACTATGTGCTGTGTCGTCATAGATATGAATAATCAATGATTGGTCTACAACATGTCCTTGGTTTCAATACTCTACTGTCTCACTGCCGGAGTTTACTAGACCCCTTTATAAGAGGCATGCTCTGGGCAGCAGTTCTTGTCCATCATATTGTCACGCCGTCAAAACAGAGGTCTTGCCGTAGAGACTGAGACAACAGAAGCAGGTCGATCTTTTTAATTAGAACGCGCAAGCGAGTTCTTCTTCTTCGTCCATTTCGTAGTCCTTCGTGGCACATGCACAACTGTCATCATCTTTCTTGGGCAAGCACGTGAGATTTGCCTCCCTCCGAAAGAAGCATCGTCCCGATGCGCAACTTAGGTGCTCTACCAGGCGTATGAAGTGGTCGTACGAAAGCGGTAACCGGGAGCTATTAACTCGATAAATATGGTTTCATACGCACGACGTGCACGACTTCGGGCAAACGCTTTTGGCGCTTAGAACTACAATCAGTGTCGGGAACAACTTCGTAGTTTATGTCGTTCAAGCGTCGCGTGACGCTGTATGAACCAAAGTACCGTACTTAGCAGTTTCTCAGACATGTCCACGTCGACGTATCGGAATCCAGACCCACACTTTGTCGCCTGGTGAGTAGCTAACAAACTTGTGTCGGTTGTCGTAGCGTTGTGCATCTTGATGCTGCTGATGACAGATGCGCACGCACGCGAGCTGTCTGGCTTCTTCGGCACGCTGAGTGAATTCTTCGGCGTCTACATAGATGTCGTCACACTCATGCGGCAATATGGCGTCCAATGTTGTCGTGACTTCGCGACCATAGATCAGACTGAACGGTGTCATTCCAGTGGTTTCTTGTCGAGCGGTGTTATAAGCAAAGGTCACGTACGGCAATATCTGATCCCAGTTTTTATGTTCTGTGTCAACGTACATACTGATCATGTCTGTGAGGGTCCTATTGAGGCGCTCCGTCAGTCCGTTTGTCTGCGGATGGTATGCAGTTGTTCCCCGGTGAGCTGTACCGCTGAGTCTGAGAACCGACTCCAAAAGCTCTGCGGTGAAGGCAGGTCCTCTGTCTGTGATCACTGTTGTCGGAGCGCCATGCCGAAGGACGATGTTTTCGATGAAAAACTGAGCGACTTCTGCTGCTGTGCCACGCTGCATAGCTTTAGTCTCCGCATAACGGGACAGGTAATCAGTGACCACAATAATCCATCTGTTCCCTGTTGTGGAAGTTGGAAAGGGACCCAGGAAATCCATTCCAATCTGGGTGAACGGCTTTGCTGGTGCTTCGACTGGAAGTAAAAGACCAGCTGGCTTGCTGGGAGGCGCTTTGCGTCTTTGGCAGTCGGTGCACGTTCGCACGTGATGGTTAACAGCAGCAGGTAACTTTGGCCAGTAGTACTTGCATCGTAGTCGGCACAATGTTCGGGTGTAGCCTAGATGACCAGAAGTTGCTTCATCATGGCACGCTTCCATAATTTCTTTTCGAAGAGAAGCAGGCACGACGAGCAAGTGCGGGTTACCAGTTGGTGAGAAGTTTTTCTTATAGAGAACATCGTTTCGCAAGCAAAAAGATGGCAGTCCTCTAGCAAATAACCGCGGCACGTCTTTACGTCGTCCTTCTAAATATTCAATGAGTGGTAACAGCTCAGGGTCACTGCGCTGCTCTCGTGCAATAGTGGCTGTGTTGACAACTCCCAAGAATGCCGCGTCGATGTTTTCATCATCAGGAGCAACAGTTTCCACTGGCGACCGTGAGAGACAGTCGGCGTCGGTGTGCCTCTTCCCAGATTTGTAGACGATGGTCATATCAAACTCTTGAAGTCTTAGGCTCCCGCGCGCCAAACGACCAGATGGATCTTTAAGGTTGGTGAGCCAGCACAAAGAGTGATGGTTGCTAACAGCCTTGAAAAGAGCGGCCGTACAAATACGGACGAAATTTGATGACTGCCCACACCACGGCGAGACACTCCTTCTCGGTGGTCGAGTAGTTCTCTTCCGTGCAAGAGAGAGTTCTGCTGGTGTAGGCTATTACTCTTTCACAGCCGTCTTGCCACTGCACCAGAACGGCACCTAGACCTACATTGCTGGCGTCAGTGTGAAGTACTGTAGGGGCGTCCTGGTCGAAGTGCGCAAGGACTGGAGGTGTTTGCAAGCGTTGTCGCAGTTCATTGAATGCCATTTGCTCCTGTTCGCCCCAAAAGAAGGGGACGTCCTCACGTGTGAGTCGTGTCAATGGCGCCGCAATAGACGAAAAGTCCTCGATAAATCGCCGGTAATAGGCGCACAACCCTAAGAAGCGTCTCACAGCCTTTTTGTCACGGGGTGCAGGAAATTGCGCTACGGCGTCTATTTTGGCCGGGTCAGGTCGAACACCGTCGTGACTGACGACGTGGCCTAGGAAGCTGAGTTCGTTGAATCCAAAATGACATTTTTCTGGTTTTAAAGTCAGGCCGGCCGAGCGTATGGCTTGGAGTACGGTGGATAGACTGAGATGTTCCTCGAATGATGCTGAAAATACAACAACATCGTCCAGATAGACCAAGCATGTTTGCCACTTCAGGCCCGATAGTACGGTG